CTCTTCACTCTTTATGTGGCGAATATAAGATGTATCCGATCACTCCCCATCCAACCCCTTTAATGCGAACAATGCCCTCCCAAACTCACAACACGCGTGTGTTTAAGAAAACAAGCACTCAACCTAGTAGTGGACTCGGAATATTTCAAATCACTCTTTGCATTGATAAACAACTAATTTCACATCCATACAACTCTATGCACAAGGGTCGGAAGGTTTTCAAAGCTTGTAATGTAAGGCTAGGGTAAAATGTAGGATAAATTTGGGAAATTGTGAGAGTAAAGCCATGCTTTAGGGAGCCAATCCTAATAAACCACGGTCAAAAATAAATAATGACCAATCATCTCCAACACAACTCAACTCAACCAAATATTCACCAAACAACCAATTAAATCAATAATTCCCAACTCTTACAATCTCGCTCATAAAAAATATAATAATGAAGAACTTGAGCGAATCAAACAAACTCTGGAACTCTTTAACACTTGATTTTATTTTTGTTTTTTTCATTTTAACTCAAAAATTCTTGTTCTTTTGAACAACCTTCTCTTAGAACATTTGAACATCACATAAATTTTCCTTTTGCTCTTTTTTTCAACATTATGATTTATTTTTTAAAGAGAATTAATCTTTCAATAATCATCAAAATAAACCAAAATCAAGAACAAACAACTTCTCAACACCACCCAAATTGTGCAAATAACAAGCACACTACAAACTCCCTCACCTCACTAACTAATAGCTCCCCCAAGCCAAGCTTGGGACTAGTAACCAATGGGGAAAAATCGGCTTGTAATGTGGCTAATAAACAATAAAAAGTCAAGGAAACAACATGGGTAGCAAGAAGGGAACAAATGTATCTAAAATCATCCAAAGGCCACCTAAAAGAACAAATGCTTTTGTCCTCCTCAATGTGCATAATAGTGAATCATATAAACATTACTCAAAGTTGCAAACGAATACCCAAATTCATTGACATACCAGGAACTAACACACATTCCTCACCAAATCAACTAGTCAAGCACTATATTCACAAGTAGTTGGGCAAAATTGACGAATGTTAAGACATCGAAGCAATCAAACATCAAATTCTAGCTAACCTATCCACAATACTCATCATCATATACCAAGAACCAAAACAATTTTCATGTATGGGGCACAGGGAAGCATAATTTATCATTCATTGGATTGTATTTTTGTATTTTTTATTTTTTTCAAAGAAATAAAATCTACACTAGAAAGCAATTAAAACTATTCTAAACTAGAGAGAGAAAAGAAAGATACCTACATCCAAAAATCTCCCCCAAGCCAAAATCAGACAATGTCCTCATTGACTCGGGAATTAGCATAGCATGGCTAATCATTACCATCCTCATCCATTACACTAAATCCTCCTCCACTGCCACCTGCACCACCAGAAGAACTCCCACCAAAATAATTAGGGTTAACATTATCCCCTATCCCCCAAAAGGAAAGTCTTGGTCGTAGCCAGAAAATGAAGAGTAGTTTGTGTAAATACCACGGGAGTCGGGATCCACGTATCCCTGGGGTGGTGGATGGAACTAGTCAGGGTAAAGAGAGTCAGCAGGAATAGCACCACGACGAGCATAGCCGTCGTACATGGGATAAAGTCCCCTACACGTGTTCCGCTCAACATAGCCCACCCTCTGGTCAAGGGAACCAACTAGCCTCCTAATGTCACCTACCTGTGCCCTAAGCTCCCCCTGAGTCTCCTCTATCCTACTTATAGCCCGACCTATACTCTGTAGGTCCCAAATAGCCTCGGGGTCTAGCCTAGGCTGGTGTGGGGGTGGCTGAGGCACATGGGGTGGTGGTAGTGGTACCTCAGGGTGTGGCTATGGTGGTGATGGTGCACGTGGTTGGGGATGTGCCCGGCCTTGGCCATGGGCAACTAGAATATCATAAGTGTAAGAATCTTGCCCAGGGGGAAAGGCTGTCAGCTCGGGGTTAGGAAGAGGGAAAACGGGTGCGTAATCCTTCCCTACCCTTACATGCCACTCTAGGACTTTGCTACAGTTAGGTTTAACCCAGTTCAAAAATTGGAAGTACGACAAGTCCATAAGAGTATCCCTCCTACAGTTGGTCAACCCCTCGTATCTAGAATCATTAAACCCCGACTTCTTAATTGCTATCCTAGTGATTAGGCCACCACAATGGATAGGGGTCTTGACATTGTTACTGCAAGCATTGTCGTGCCTACTCAAATGAGTAATGATGTATCTAGCAATGTTTAATTTCCCGTACCCATAATGTCCTAGAATAGCTAGCTCGTTGGTTTGGGTGTTTTGAGGATCATGACGAGCTAGAAAACAAGTCCCCGAAAATCTTTGGAAGATTTTAGGGACGAGGTGGTGGAAAGGGAGTACGCTAGCATGTTGTGAATTTGGGCAAGGTTTGCCCGACAAAGCAAGATAAATATCATCTGCCTTATAATCTTCATGCCATTGGGTGGGGGGGGAAGAGGATCAAATACAAATAAATTTTCAAATTCTACATAAGTTAAATTAACATTTTTATTATTCAACTGAAAACGCAAATTAGGGCCATTATTTGATTGAACCACATTTATAGAGGATAAAAATTTGCATGTCAATTCCTTATATGTGGGATAGTGCATATCTACAAAATTTCGCATGCCAATATCGTTCATAAAATGTCTAACATGCTCATATAAACCTAAAGATTGAAGGGTGTCTCGGTGTAACCACCGAGAGGGATGTACCTCCTGTTCGTAGAGGTTGATGAGTCGTTCAGGTTGTTGCGAAGTTGTAATCTTGATCGTTGGCCAATGAGGTAGTTATAGAGCTGGTTCAACCGGTGCACTCGAGCCCGAACCGCGTCCCCCTTATGTTCTTGCCTCTTTCCAAACATCTTGAATATGGGTCATGAGCCGGTCGGGCACGCTACAGCACTATGAGTCCGATTTTTCCTTCTTTTCTTCAAAATTTGGCTAGCTCTTTTTCTCTAACCTGTAAAAAATACTCTAAAACACATTAAATTCTCTCCTTTCTTCTTCTGAAAGACAAAAAAAGGGAAAATAAAAATTCCAAAAAGCAAGAAAATACGGGTTGCCTCCCGCAAAGCCCTGGTTTATCTAGGTCCCACACGACCTTCTTACCATATGTCGATCAAGATGAGATGGAATCGATTAGGTGAAGTAATTCAACTGCACCAATTGTAGCCCCTTCATGATATAATTTCAATCTTTGGCCATTTACCTTAAAATCACCACCATGTTCATCATATAACTCCACAGAACCGAATTTGTTTGCCCTTTTAACAGTAAAAGGACCTGACCACCTTGACTTTAACTTTCCTAGGAAAAGTTTAAGTCTAGAATTGAACAACAAAACCTTATCACCCTCTTTGAATTCTCTCGGAAGGATCATCTTGTCATGCCATTTCTTGGTCTTCTCCTTGTAGACGCGTGCACTATCATAGGCCATCAACCTAAACTCATCTAGTTGGTTAAGTTGTAGTAGCCTCTTTTCTCCCGCTAACTTACATCCAAATTGAGCTCTTTAATTGCCCAATAAGCCATATACTCTAATTCCACCGGGAGGTGACATGCTTTCCCATACACAAGTTTATAAGGGGAAGTACCAATGGGGGTCTTAAATGCGGTTCTGTATGCCAAAAGAGTGTCATCCAACTTATCGCTCCAATCCTTCCTAGACTTTGCTACCACCCTTCTCCAAAATAGCCTTAATCTCACGGTTAGAAACCTCAACTTGGCCACTAGTTTGGGGATGGTAAGCTAAACTCGTCCTATGGTAGACACCATACTTCTTGAGAAGGGTATCTAACTTTCTCTCATGAAAGTGAGATCCTCCATCACTAATAACGGCTCTAGGGACTCCAAATCTTGGAAAAATGGTTTTCTTGAAGAGCTTATGGACCTTCTTGGCATCATTGGTAGGTGTGGCAATGGCTTCAACCCACTTAGATACATAATCAACCGCGACAAGGATATAACGATTCCGTTTTGATGAGGGAAAAGGTCCCATATAATCAACCCCCCAAACATAAAAAATTTTAACTTCCAAAATACAGGTTTGAGGCATCTCATGCCGCCGCGAAATGTTTCCAGTCCTCTGGCAAGAGTCACAAGCTTGGAAAAAAGAATGAGCATCCTTGAACATGGTAGGCCAATAGAAACCCGACTCATTGATCTTTGCTACTGTCTTAGTAGGACCATGGTGTCCTCCATATGGTGAGTTGTGGCATCTTGTAAGTACACCGTGAACTTCCTATTCTGGAACACATCTGCGAAATAGTCCATCTGCACACTCAAGAAAGAAAAAAGGATCATCCCAAAAATAATGTTTAACATCGTAAAGGAACCTCTTTTTCTGTTGGTAGGACAAATCAGGAGGTAGAGTACCACCCACCAAATAATTAGCATAATCGGCATACCAAGGGTGTTGCTCTACAACTGTAAACAAGCGGTCATCAGGGAAAGAATCATCTATAGGAAGAGAATCCTTACCCTCATCATACCTAATCCTCGACAAGTGATCTGCAATAACATTCTCTGCTCCCTTTTTATCTTTAATTTCCACATTGAAATCTTGGAGCAAGAGAACCAAACGGAGGAGCCTAGGCTTTGTTTTTGCCTTAGCTATAAGATATTTCAAAGCTGCATGATCAGTAAAAACAATAATTTTAGAACCAACTAGATATGATCTAAATTTTTCTAAAGCATAAATCACAGCAAGAAACTCCTTCTCCGTGGTGGCATAATTGATTTGGGCTTCATCCAAAGTTTTACTTGCATAATAAATAGCATGAAAAACGTTTTTCTTTCTTTGTCCTAGCACGGCTCGTACTGTAAAATCACTAGCATCACACATAATCTCGAAAGGAAGATTCCAATCGGGAGCACATATGATAGATGCTGATGTTAAAGCGTGCTTAATCCTATTAAAAGCCTCAAGACACTCGTCAATAAAATCAAATGGGGCATCCTTGAGTAAAAGCTAAGTTAGTGATTTAGCAATTTTAGAAAAATCTTTGATAAAGCGACAATAAAACCCTGCATGACCTAAGAAACTCTTAACTCCCTTAACATTAACTGGTGGAGGTAATTTCTCAATCACAGAAATTTTAGCTTTATCTACTTGTATACCCTTATCAGATACAATATGACCAAGAACCACTCCTTCTGTCACCATAAAGTGATAATTTTTCCCAATTTAGGACCAAATTGCATTCTTCACATCTTTTCAAAATTTTAGTGAGATTAGCTAGACATGCATCAAATGAAGACCTATACACACTCTAATCATCCATAAAGACTTCCATGATAGACTCTATGAACTCAGAAAAGATACTCATCATGCAACGTTGAGAAGTAGCAGGGGCATTACATAGACCAAAGGGCATCCTACGATATGCAAAAGTACCATAAGGACATGTAATGTGGTCTTTTCCTGATCTTCAGGGTGAATTGGAATTTGGAAAAATCCCGAGTATCCATCTAAATAGTAAAAGAACTTATGATAAGCTAACCTTTCCAACATTTGATCAATAAAAGGGATAGGGAAGTGATCTTTCTTGGTGGCAATATTTAATCTACGATAATCAATGCACATACGCCACCCTGTTACAGTTCTAGTGGGAATCAATTCATTTTTATCGTTTTTAATCACAGTCATCCCACCCTTTTTAGGAACTACCTATACAGGACTCACCCACTTTGAGTCAGAAATAGGATAAATAATACCTGCATCAAGTAATTTCATAACCTCTTTCTTGACTACTTCCTATATGTTAGGATTTAACTTTCTCTGGGGTTGAATACATGGCTTGTGATTGTCCTCTAAGTGTATCCTGTGCATACCAAAATCAGGGCTAATACCCTTGAGGTCATCAATTTTGTACCCAATTGCCCTATTGTGGGTTCGAAGAACCTCAAGAAGTTGGGAAGTTTGTAGGTCATCAAGTGCAGTACTAATGATCACAGGGTGTAATTCCTGTTCATCAAGAAATACATATTTTAAATGAGAAGGGAGAGGTTTTAGTTCAGGTTTCTTAACCTCTACAGGTTTTGAATCCTGAACTAATTTTACTACCTTCTTGCTCTCCTTAGGGTTAAGGTCTTCAAGTGTGAGAGCTATCTCTATAGCATCCACCTAACTGCTCCAAATACCAGCATCACCTGTAGTAAAATCACCACAAAGTTCTTCCTCCAAGGGACCCCTTGCAAGGATCTGTGGTAAGCTATCTTCACAAATAACATCAATCATATCAATCACATCAGTACTACAACAATTTTCCTCTAACATAGGACCTATCAAAACCTTCGTTCCCTAGATTAAAAGTGATATTATCATCTCCGACAAATAGAGTTAGTTTTCCATTTTTTTACATCAATAATGGCTCCTACAATTTGGAGGAAAGGTCTACCTAATATTATAGGAATTTGTGTATCCTCAGCCATGTATAAAACAACAAAATCAATAGGGACAAAAAATTTACCAACTCTAATAGGGACATCTTCTAGAATACCTAAAGGGTATTTAACAGAACGGTTTGCCATTTTCAAAGTAATGTTAGTAACTTTTAAATCACCCATATTAAGCTTTGAACACACAGACGATGGCATAACACTAACACTGGCACCCAAATCACATAATGCTTTATCAATGAAGACATTACCGATATGACAAGGAATAGAAAAACTGCTAGTATCCTTTAAGTTAGGTGGAGATTTATTTTGTAATAAAGCGCTACATTCCTCTGTAAAAGCTACAGTCTCTACCTCATTAAAGGCTCTCTTCCTAGTCAAAATATCTTTCATAAATTTAGCATATGCAGGAACTTGCGTAATTAACTCTGTGAAAGGAACTGTTACCTGCAAGTTTTTCACAACCTCTAGAAACTTACCAAATTGCTTATCCAACTTAGTCTTCAATTGTCTACTAGGGAATGGTAGTTTGATAACTGGTTTCTGTACATCTCCACTCTTGTCTTGAGTTGTAACTTTCTTTGAAGTTGTACCCTGCAATATATCATTAGAAATGTTAGTTTTACCCTAGAGCCCTACAGGGCCAGTAACAAGATCATTTGGTATAAAAGAATCAGGATTAGCAATTTTTGTTAAAACAGGTTCATCATCCTTAGGCATAGGAGGCCCATCATAGTGTGAACCACTCCTCAGAGTAATTGCATTTGCATGATCTATAGGTTGTACTGGCTGCAATGGTAGGACTCCCTGCTGGCGAGTTTCTAGAGTAGAGGAAAGTTGCGCAATTTGATTATCCATGATTTTATTGTGAGCTGAGATCGAATCAATTTGTGCATCCCTACTCTGCATGTGCTTTTGCATACTAGCTAACATCGTTCTAATTTCTGACAAGGTAAGGTCAGTAGATGGAGGTGGATTTGTGGTTGGGCCCTTTGGTTAGGAGGTTGGTAATATTTTTGATGTGCTTGTTGTGGCGCTTGTTGTTGTGGTTGTTGCAGAGGTGGAGGGTTTTGCCCATTGGTACTCCGGTAAGAAAGATATGGATGGTTTCGGAGACCAGGATTAAAAGTGTTGGATTATAAGCTATTCTGCCTATAGGTTTGGAAGACATTAACTTGCTCCATGGAACTCCTACAATCTTGTTCCCAATGACCTACAATTCCACAATTTTCAGAAAAAGCATCATTATTATTATTATTAACAGCAGAAACAGTAGCAACGGTGGTTGGAATAGCAGGAATAATATTATCTAATTACTGACAAATAGAAGTTAATTGAGCTTTCACAAAGGATATAGAATCGACACTATGTCTCCCTTTGTTTGCAAAACCTCTAGGATTCCCATATTGGGAATTGTGAATTGCCATCTCTTCGATAACTTTTCCTGCTACATCTACTTGAAGATTCATAAATCTTCCATTAGCTGATGAATCTAGGATTGATCTAGATGAATTTCCAATCCCGTTGTAGAAGGCTTGGATTATCTGCCACTGTGCTAGACCATGATGAGGACATTTTCTCTGCAAATCCTTAAATAATCTTTCCCAAGCTTCATATAAACTTTCATCAGCTTTTTGGGCAAAATTTTAGATTGAACTCCTTAACAAAGTTGTCCTCTCTGTAGGGTAGTATTTATTATAGAAATTCAAAGCAAGAGTATCCCAGTCAGTAATACCAAGTGCAGTTTTATTCAATCCATTGTACCATGATTTACCTTTACCACATAAAGAAAAGGGAAAAAGAATCTCCCTGATTTGGACCTGCGTGAACCCAGCTTGTCCAATAGTGTTGCAATATTTGCAAAAATCAAAGATGTGAAGATTTGGATCTTCACCCTTAGCTCCGCTCAATTGCTTCCTTTCAATCATAGTAATAAATTGGGGTTAAATTTCGAATTGTACCCCCTCGAGATTTGGTGTGGGAGCAAGATGTAGAAAATCTGCTAGGGACGGTTGCGAATAATCGCTGAGCTTACGAGGTGGTTGAGTCGTCATCTCTAATTCTGGTTCTGAAGAAACTTCTTTGTCGCTAGAATCAGATAGGGGTTCCAAAGGTGTACTACCCTTGGAAGTAGCTCTTACCTGTCTTAAAAGGTTCTTCTGTCTATGAAAAGAACGTTCGATTTCAGGATCAAATGGAATGTAACCTGATAGAGAAATCCTGGGCATAAACACAGAACTAAACAAACAAATATGAGAAACTGTCCCAAAGAACTTGCGTTGTTACGAAAGAAAATAATCTAGACTACGAAAATATTCAGGAATAAAAATAAAACCGTCTCCCCGGCAACGACGCCAAATTTTGACCGGCTAAAGTCGTATTACCTAATCAAAAGAATTACATAAGTCCTCTAACTAAAGTAGATAGGGAAGTAGGGTCGAATCCACAGGGAAACAAGTCTTTCTATTCCTAAATAATTAATATAATCTAAACTATTAAGTAGCAAAGTTGTTTTTGTGAGAATTAAACTAAGAAAAATAAATAAACTAAAGCAATACGAATAAGGAAGGAAATCAATAAATCAAAGCCTAGAGTATAGGTTCACCAATAAATAATATTCCAAGGTAAAACACAATAATCAATTATCAATACATCAATTAATCAGATCATAAAGGGCTTTCGCTACGTATTACAATCACATAATTAATCTACCGGTATTAAATCGCATCTCTCGAATCTTGAATTAACCATTTATAAATTAACATGCCTATTGAACCTAAGCCTGAACATCAATTCTCATCTCTCGAATCATGAATCCATATTGCATAACTCATACAATTAAACCAGGCTTAATCTAATTGCATAACATTAAATCAATCAATAGGAAATTAACCAAAGCATTAACAATCAACAATAGTAAATTGTCCCTTCATATTATTTATGGATCCCCGCAACCCTAGACGATAAACTACTCACACATATTTAAATCTAAACTAAGCAAAGAAAATAAAATAGACATAATTAATCAAAGCAATTAATTACTGAAAATAAGAAGGAAGAAACCGTTACCAAAATGAACGGAAACAATGAATTGCATAAACTCAAAGTGTAGAGAGAGAGAACAAGAGTATTAACCAAAAGTTTAAAACTAAAATATGGAAATTAAGTGATGGAAAAAATATAATCTTATCTAGCTTAAGAAATGTATTTATACTTAAGCACAAAAATCCTAATTAAAAAAAACAAATTAAATCGTCAAAACACCCTCAGAAACACGCGCCCGGACGGTTGGAGCTTCGCCCGGACGGGCGCACCTTTTGAACTATTGGATCTTCACTCGCGCCCAGTCGGGCGTAAGACAGGGAGAAGGGCGCGTTTCTTCCTTCTATCTCGCCCAATCGGGCGCGCCTTATGGCGAGGTACCCACCCGGTCGGGCGAGCTCCCGAGCAAGCATGGACTTCGATTTGGGCTACTTCTCTTGGCCCAATTCTGGGTTTTCCACTTTGGTCCATTTCCCCGGTCTCTTCTTTGCCGAGCCCTTAATCACCGAATTGATGACTCTAACCGGTCTTGGGCTACGAAATATGGTCATAATTCTCCAATGCTTGTAGTGGCTCAAATAAGTCTGGGAAAATGCTTCAATCCTGGATAGTGTAGTGTTCAAGAGCTTGACAGTGAAGAAAAGAAGAGTGATGGAAGTATACCTGTTGTAGAAGAGTTTCCTGATGTATTTCCAGATGAGATTCCTGGTATGCCACCAGTGAGGGATGTTGAGTTCACTATCGACCTAGTACCTAATATTGGACCTATTTCTAAAGCTCCATATAGGATGGCTCCAACTGAGATGAAGGAGTTGAAGACTCAGTTGGATGATTTGTTGGAAAAGGGTTACATTTGACCTAGTTCCTCACCTTAGGGAGCTCTAGTGTAGTTTGTAAAGAAAAAGGATGGAATTATGAGGTTGTGTATTAATTATAGAGAGTTGAATAAGGTGACGGTGAAGAATAAGTATCCATTACCAAGGATTGATGATTTGTTTGACCAGCTTAAAGGGGCTGGAGTATTTTCAAAGATAGACTTGAGATCAGGTTATCACCAATTGAGAATTGCGGAGCAAGATATTGCAAAGAGTGCTTTCAGGACCCGTTATGGTCATTATGAGTTCACAGTTATGTCTTTTGGTCTGACCAATGCACCAGTAGTGTTCATGGATTTGATGCATAGGGTTTTCAGGTCATATTTGGACAAGTTTGTGGTGGTGTCACGACGAAAAAGGTAATTTAGCACCGGTTCAAACCCCCCCTAAGGCACCGGTTTTGAACCGTTGGGGATTTGAGGGATGCCAAATCCTCAAAAATTTAGAACCGATTCAAAACCGGTGCCAACTTCAAAGGCGCGATTTTTTTTTTATTATCAACACTATTGGCATCGGTTTTAAGCAAGAATCGGTGCGAAAAACCCCACTTTAGGCACCGGTTTTTGCTTTAACCGGTGCCAAAAGTCTCAAAAAAAAATTTTAACAAAACTTTTGGCACCGGTTCTGGTCCAAACCGGTGCCAGAAATACCCCAAAAAAATAAAAATAAAAAAATAAAATAAAAATTTGCATTTTTTTCACTTAAATTGATATAGAAACATTAACATATATATAAAGTTACATATTTTCATTAAAAAAGCTGTAATATTACAAATTTCGTCCAAAAAAAAGTAAATAATCCAGACTTATCTCTGATCGACCTTTCTTGCATTTCACTTCAAACAAGGACCGGGACAACACCTAACACAAAGCCAAAACTACGGAGAACAAAACAAAAAACAGCAGCCCAAAAACACAAGAGGCCGAGAAAGCACCTACACACAGCTAGCAAAACACAGCATAAAACAAAAACAAAAAACAACCTCGCAGCCCACCAAAACAGCAACACCAAACCACACCACTACTGTACAGCACCCAAACCAGCAGCCCAACTAGTATAGAGCAGGCACCAGTAGGTCCCTGAAGAACAGCAGTCAGACAGCACCAGCTGAGCAGAAAGCTTCAAGGATCAGCCCATAAAACCTAGCACTCAGCAACACAGAATCAGAGCAAAGCAAATCAGCAAAACCGCAACTGAAAAACTGACCAGACCAAACGCAGAACAGCTACACAACAGGCCAGCAGATAGACAGACCATAGCAAACTCTTGATATCCATATAGTTCGCAGCCTACATATAATAATCACACAATTAGTTGAGTTAATACTCAATCGATTGACCAAGTAAATGTATATAGGATAACATATTCATTACACAGCTAAACCAAACATTTAATATATGAAGACAGCCAATTTGGGAAGAAGTATTTGCACAAAGATTACTCAAAACTCGATTTCGAAACAAATGCAACATGTTTAATATGAGTGTGTTGTTTCAGTGTTTCTTATGTAATAATATATACTTATTAGCAAAACATATATGAGCCATATATAATGTATTGTTTATTATGTTATTAGATTTTAAACCTTAGGAATTGATTACATGATTTTAGACATATATAGTCGAATGTCTATTATGCAACTTTTCATCATTACAATCATTGATACATTCATATCAAGTGATATCAAAAGCTAAGTTTTGTGAGTGTATATAAGCTCAGGAACGCAGAACAGCTACACAACAGGCCAGCAGATAGACAGACCATAGCAAACCAGTAGGGATAGAAAAAACAGAGCTCTAAGCAGGCACAGGAACAGTCAAACAACCCGAGCACACTGACTAGCTCAGCATCACAGTAGAACACAGCCTGCAGCAGCACACAATAGACAAAACAAGAGCTAGAGAAACAGCAACTCAAACCAGCAGATAGAAAAGAGACTCAGGGCATGAATCAAAGCTGAACAGACTCCAGAACACACGCCAAATCCAGAACTTATTGTTAGGACTTACCTGGAGAAATAGGAATGAGGTCAGAAACCAAAACTAATAGTGGTTAGGAGTAAGAAGAAGCAAGCTTACCTTAAAAGCATCAATGCAGTAGTATGCATACTTGTTAGCCTTAACATTCTCATCCAATAGAACATGTTCAGGAGGCATCCACAAGAACTACAACTACAAGTACCACAAGAGAAAATAGAAACAGACGTAAAGAAGAGATTTTCAAGAAAGCATTGTGAATATATCACTTTAAACACCTAAAAACCCTTTAGGCTATAGAGAATCTTAAGCTTTTTAAGCACCTAAAAACACTAGCAGTACTAATACCGAGAATGTTGCTAAGCTTCCTATTGCTAGAACTTTGACAAGCTTTTAGAGTTTACACGAACGAAGTGCCCAAAAAGGCCATGATCATTATGCCAACAAGGGACACAGTAAATCATATAAAAGGTGAAGGGTGGACCAGTAGAACTTAACAAGTCAAGCAGTAGAACGCAATGGTGACCTCTTTACACCATGGCCTTCTTGATCACCCATTGACCCTATTCTAAAGTAATTGGCTGTGAAGACTGAAGACTGCAAGAGCATCTGATTTCTGAAGTGGGAACATTCGAGTGGTGTCATGTATTTTCAACAATGCCAGATACCTAAAATACAGGTTCATTCGGGTACCATAAAGTGACCAATTAGTGACCAAAAATTAAGCATTTTGATTTTCATAAATTTAGCTTGGAAATTTAAGGGAAGCAACCAGGTGGATTAATTTGCATGTGATTAATTTTGGCTACACCAAGTAAAAATTCTCTTGGTCAGAATTTTGTTTTACCTTAATATCATAATTTACTAATTCAGTCAATCATTTGCCTATAAATAGGGGTGTAACTTCACAGAGAAAATTGTCAATGTAATCCATACAAATCTTGGATCCTTGCATTCGGGATTTCCTCTGCCGTAGTTCACAGAACATCAAACAGTATTAAAACTCAGCTTAAACAGGGAAAAAAAACCTAAATAACCAAAAACTAGGAGAGCATACCGAAGTTGGAATTCCAGTTATTGCGAAAAATCCCAGCAAAGGAGCATAGAAAACGCTATCCGTGTTCAAAAGTCCAAAAACGGGCTTTTGATTGACATATTCAAATATTGAACCAATCTGCACAATCCAATGTCAAATCCATTAAGACATAAATAGGAATATTAGAAGGTCATGCGTTATATTCAATTGACACATAAAAGGGAAACGATGAGGTAAAAAGGACTTATAAGATTGACCTCTTCTTTTCCCTAAGATTATGTTAAGTTAAGAGGGAAAATTAGATTTCCATTTCCCTCAGTTTGGTTTGTAAAGGGGTGAAAATAATCTCCATAGTTATTAAAAAGGTTTTCTAAAGGGTGCAAAAGATATTTAGTTAAGAAAGCCAAATTTTCTTCCCTTTTTCTCATCTCCCTCCTCTCTACTGTCCCACCTCTCCCCATAACCATTGAAACATACTGTCAATTGAAAATAAAATTCGATTTACATGTTTTCCAATGAACCAAAACATAACCTTAGATGGATGCCACATGACCACATCTTTACCTAAGTGCATACAATCCTAGGGTCCAAATTATAATCTATAGTGAAGGAACTTACAGCAGCTATAGCAGTAATAGCCGAGGCAAGAAAATAAACAAAGATAGGGACCTCAAATCCCTCCTTAAGTTCATTTAACTTGCCTTCATCACGAGCCCAAGGGGGTGGCTCATCCGAGTCAAGCTTAGCCCAAGAAGGGACTGATTCCTTAGACTTCTTACTCACCTTTGCAAACAAAGAACCGTTCTTCCTGCCAGCGTTAATCTGGTCAACTGTGAATCCTTTGATACTTCATCCTAAGCAGGGCAAATTCAGCATGGTAAAAGTAGCATCTTGACATCTTGGGTGAAGTAATTGTTGACCCTTCACTCTAAAGAACAAATTTATTGCACAAATGGAAGATGAACTTGCTGCAACCATAGCTTAAAGGATATTTTACTCTTAAATTTCCAGCTATATTGAACTGAAATGACATAATCACAAGACAAAAGTATCAAAACATGAGTGGAAATTAATAATCATGAGCAAAAAAATCAAATTGCAGTATAAAAACTGGTAATTGTTGTGACCCTAAGTCCCTATCCAAAACAATAATAGATTATCAACACAAGTTTCATCAAAGTTTCAATTTTTAACACAGAATCAGAACAGAAAAACAATGTTAAGTACCAAAAAAAAAAAAAAAAAAAAAAACAATGTTAAGTACCAAAATAATCCAATAGTTCATGAATTACACTGGTACAAGCATTCATTCAATTTAATTCCACAAATTGCAAATCAGCATACACAAAAACAATGTTAAGTACCAAAAAAAAAAAAAAAAAAAAAAAAAAAAAAAAAAACAACCCAGATAAATTTGAGCCCAGAATAAAGTATTTAAAACACACCCTGATGCAAAAACATACTGAAATGAAGAGTTGAAGAATATAAAGGTAAAGAGGAGAGAGAAAACAAACTTGGGAATTTGTACAATTTGACGGTGCGATCGATAGATCCAGAGGCAAGACAGGTGGAGTTAGGGCTAAGAGCTAAAGCGGTGACGCCGTCTCGATGGTGACGGAGATTCTTCATCGGGTTCGAAAGGAGGAGAGATTCATAGATAGAAATGGATGAATCTGATGAGGAACCACAAATCTCATTGAATTTCGAATATCAACCCAACAAATTAACTTGTTCAGAAGGAAGAGAAGAGCGAGATTATATTGTGAGAAGAACGAGAGAAGAACGACAAAATCAGAAGGAAGAGAAGAGAGATACAACGAACAGAGAATCAGAGATGAGAGAGAAGAGAAGAACGAACAAAGAAGAGAGGAGAGCATGAAAGAAAGAGGCGGATGAGAGGAAGAAGAAGATACGTTATAAACCGGGCTTTTTAAAAAAAAAATTGGCACCGGTTCAAACCGGTACTAAGTACTATAGTTGGCACCGGTTTAAGGCGAACCGGTGCCAACTCCATTGATTTCTTTTGTTTTGTTTTGTTTTTTTTGTTTTTTTTTTAAGTTAAACCGGTGCTAATTAAATGTGTTGGCACCGGTTTAGGTGGGAACCGGTGCCAACTCTGAATTTTTCATTCCCGCCCATTTCTTTTGGCACCGGTTTTCAAGAACCGGTGCTAAAGGGGGGGTGCCTATTTCAAATTTTCTACTAGTGTGTTTATTGACGATATTTTGATCTATTCAATCAAGGGGTAAAGAGGAGCATAAAGAGAATTTGAGACAAGTGTTGTCATGTTTAAGAGAGCATCAGTTGTATACAAAGTTGTCTAATAAGTGTGAATTTTGGTTGGAAAAAGTAGCATTTTTGGGCCATGTGATATCCAAGGAAGGAGTCTCAGTGGACCCAAGTAAGATTCGAGCTGTCAGTTGTTTAGGGGATTTTTCCCCGCCACGTGGACCAATAAGCACCTGCCACATGTCAACCACGTGGACCAATCAGGTGCTGCCACGTGTCATACTCCAGGAGGTCCAACATGGACCAACCAAGCCACGCCACGTGACACCTAGATTGCCAACCTGGAAAACGGCCAACAAGGCCCGAATCCCGAGGCAAGCCCAATCAGTCCTAGGTTTACCATTTAACCTAGTATTGGGCACGTACTTCGAGGCTATATAAACAGATAATTAGCCTCCATTAAACAGTTTTAATGAAACTAATTAAGAGATTACCCCACGTGCATACTTATTGCTAGACCTTACTTAGCATTAATTGCACACCTTCCAAGGTTGCGCACTGCAACTAGCCTGATCACTCCTCTCCTAGGAGGATCCAGATCACCTTTACTTTCCGCACCTTTTATTCCTAAACACGTTCTAACTTGATCGTCGGAGGCGGAGCTCCCACCAACCGGAGTTTCCGTTGTTTTGCAGGTACAGGCGCACGGATCCAGTCGCGGAGTTGTAACTCTCCCGCAGGACATCAAAAAAACCCCGAAACCAGTCGGTCCGCCGCTTATTCATCAACGGGCGGCCGAGGGATCTGCCCCCATCACCAGAAACGAACTCATGACCTTCATAAATAGTTTCAAAGGGGAGATCCAGGAACTTATCAACAAGAGGGCACCTGTTCCACCAAAGGAACAGTCGGCCAGAAGACCCTCCCAATCTGGGAGGAAGAAGCCTGTAAAGGATCGGGAGGCGACTCCTTACCCTAGAACTAGGGAGAGGGAACCGCCGGTGATCGATTTAACTAAGTACCGCTTCCCCTCACCAAGGAAGAAGAAGCCCATCCGTCATGTTCAGCCGGATGGGTCCAAGAAGACATACTCTGATGCTCGGATGCTACTCGAGCAGAAGAGGAATGACCGACTGTCAGAGTCGGCCTCCACGTCTGATTTTCAAGACAATTTACACAATACCTCCATGAGGTATTCAAAATGAAACTATGAGAGCCAGACGGGCGGCACCTCCTCTCGTTCTGGTTCTTAGAAGCATGATGTGGTACCGTATGTGCGTCCCTAGCCATACGTTCCGCAATCTCAATATTTCATGCAGCCTACTCCCTTTGGAGGACAGGCGACAAGGAATGTCCAGCCCTTGGACTGGCAGCTTCGGCTGCTCAAACTAGGAGAACATCCATCCGCTTTCTTTAAAGAAATAACAGAGGCCTCCCAGCCGGCCAAAGTAAAGAATGTGTTGGTAGGGGCCTATGACGGCACTACCAACCCTGAAGACCATTTGATGGCGTATACCAACCTTATGTACCTCCAAGGGTTGGATGACGCCACATGGTGTAAGTGTTTCTCGGCCACATTGAAGGGCATCGCCCACCAATGGTTTGGCAACTTGCCGACCGGGTGTATTAATAATTTCAAGACCCTTGCCTACCTGTTCACGTCAATTTTTTCAATGAACATCCCTGCTAAAAAGACCACCCTTGACTTGGGGGCCATACAGTAGGGAGAGAAGGAAGGACTGCGCTCCTACATCAAGAGGTTCAATCTGATGAGAATTCAGATACAGGGACTACCTGATGAAGTAGCTTACACGAAATTTTTCAAAGGTCTGAAGGACGGGTCGAACTTCAAATTCGACCTCGTCAGAAAGAGGGTGACCACCCTCCAAGAAGCAATGATGGAGGCGAACGCCTACATTCAAGCTACCGACCTCTGTAAAGTTGGAAAGCAGTCGGACCACAAGAAGTCAGAAAAAAGAGAGAGCCGGCCAAAGCAGTCGGCCAATAAAGAAGAAAGAAAAAGAAAAGAAGTCTAGGTGGCTGACTCCTCCGAGCAGCCATCCCAGAAGAAGAAGAAGGTATTCAAACCATACTCCCCTAAGTATGAGTTTAACAAGGATAGCTATGCCATCCTCAAGGAAATCAAGGACAGGAAGCCAGCTGCCATGAAGAGTTCCGTCAACAATCGGAACAAAGATAAATATTGCTATTACCATGAGGACATTGGTCGCGACACCAATGAGTGCATCAGCCTCAAGAGCCTCTTGGACCGCTTGGCAGACAAAGGGGACCTCAATTCCTATATCAAGAAATCAAAGGGTAACTAACAACCCAAACAGAAACAGCCGGGCAAGAAGAGGACGACACCTGCTGATAGTTCGGACACTGACGAAGCACAAATCTAAACTATAGCAGGCAGCTTCATAGGAGGAGGTCCTACTATCCGGGGCAACAAGGATAACATCAGGAGACTGGAGATAAACTCAGTCGACCAGGGACGGGCCTCCAAGAATTCGTTTCCTGAAGTTGTCATTACTGAACAAGACTTGGGAAAAGTCAGGGGGCCGCATGACGATCCCATAGTAATTGAATGCAAGGTGGCCAACCAAAGAGTTGTTCGGATTCTTATTGATACTGGGAGCTCATCTGATCTCATCAGTCACAAGTGCTTGACAAAGCTCAAGTACAAGCCCGAGAGCATGCACCCGGTGCCCCATCCCTTAGTAGGATTTGGAGGAGGGATCGTGAACCTAGTTGGACGGGTGGATCTGCCTATCCGCTTGGGCGAGAAAGGGGAGGGCCGTCACATGGTGGTCCGGTTCCTGGTGGTCGACGAACTCTTGGCCTATAACATGATCTTGGCCTATAACATGGTCTTAACTAGTTTTTTGGGCATCAAATAAGACGCAAAAAAAAAAAAATCTATTATACACTGTTAAAATTCATAGTTATTCCTCCTTCAAGCAATTTGAAGAGATGTTATAATATTCGAAGTACTACTGTTAAACCTAGGCGTGAAAGGTTAATTAAATTACTAATGGTTTAACAAATCTAAACTTTGATTAAATTTTATTTTTCTCATTTAATTTATTTGTTTTACTGAAGTTATTACTAAAACTCTATTCATGATGTAGCAATTTTAAGGGGACACGTTCAATGTAAGCGGTTATTTTTTTATTCGTTTTATTTTATTTATTAATTTTTTATTAACATATTAGGATTCCTATTAATTATTGTTGTCATGTTTATATAATTTAATTCGTGCCTTTTATAATATTATGTAGCTTCCAATATTTATATCGTATAATTTCTTACTTTGATCGCCCTTTTGCAAGTTTATTTAGGAATATTTAATTGAATTTCACACCTAATAAGACAATTTGAAAAATTGGTTTGGTTTCCTTTTTAATCTTGTGGATTTAATAAGTGATCACAATATTTAGAATTATGTGTGCATTACATATTCAACCAACTTGGTAATATTAGTTTGGATTGAATTGAATATTATTTGTTTGTCAATTAAATTGCAAAATAATACTTATCGCAATAAGCATCGAGTAGAGGCCAATGGGACGAAATTGTCTTATTGACTCAATTTCGTGTCTTAATCCCCGATCGTCCAGTCGTGGTTCGTGACCATATGGAATTACAATCTCATGGATTGTTAATGGGGCGTAACCTTCATGGATTAATATTCGTGGTTGTCTTTATTCCTTTAGTTAGAATCCATGAACGGTTTACAATAAAAGTTCCTCAAAAATTTGTTGACGGCTCCCTACTTTATCCCCTGTCCCTGTCGTATTAGTCAAATTCAACTTTATACAATTATCAAGCATACTCACGCATGCTAACATAGGCGCACTTCATGCGGCGCTTACAACCATCCTGTAGGGTAGTGTCCAAACCATGCAACAGCTGCACGTTCCAACCACTATCCTACCCCCAAACCACTGAACATGCTGCCCCTGCCCATTCTGACCACCAGAGCATCCACTGTGGCCCACCAGCAAGTACTACAACACGCAGCCATGGCTACTGCCACAAACCCCGTTTTTTTAGTGAATTAAATTTCACAACATTATTTAATTTGTAAAATTTAATTAATGGTCTTGGTAAATTAAACATAAACTCTTTTATGTCTAATCCGTAAACTTAATTAAAATATACATATTAATTAATTTAGAGCTATCCATACACGTAATTTTATCTCTAATCATGCAATTAAAACCCTTTTACATGAATTAATTAATCACACAAAAAACACTTTTAAGTATGAAAAAATATATTAAATTACATGAATTTAACATATTAAAATTCAAAAATACTTATGATTCATTACTCAAAATTTTCAAAAATTAATTAGGGCATCTAGGGTTGAAATTTTCAACTGGAGTTAGAAAAATTTGAGCAATTAAATCTTTATTTAATCAATTCCAATAGATTAAAATCATAGTCGGATTAGGTCATTAAATTCGTAATTCAATTCCTCTCCTTAATTAAATTAAAATTAGAATCAAATACATCAAAATAATTGCATTTTTGTGACCAATTAATTATATGTAATGGGCTAATTGATACCAATTTAGGGTTTCAGATAGTCTAAGTGAAATTTTATGAATCATATTTATATGCACCTACATAGGATCTAATGCATATACAGATTAACTTCGAATAAAACTTTGATTTCTAAATTCCTCTCTAGAAAATTCTACTATGCGTGAGATAAAATGCCTCAAATGTTACTCCTCTACTCGGTCCACTAGCTTAGATCAATACTCCACCAATGCTAGTTGGACGAGGGAACTTTCCTCTGTCTTGAGAGAGATGGTGAGAAAAAAATATTCTACCTTTGTTTTGTGAAAAGAGATCATGAAAATCGTATTCTTTTTTTTTCAAATCCCTATTTTTATATAATCAAATGGTAGATTAATTAAGGTCAGACTTTCCCCTCCCTTTTCTCTCTTTGGCCAGCCACCCTAAGGCCCTAATTACGCTTTGGGTTTCTTATTTGATCCAAACTTGTTGTGTGACATTATAAAATATGTTTAGCTAGATTGGCTTTAGGTTTATTTTGTTCAAGTCCAAAGGTCAATATTAGTCTCTATAAAGACATAAAGACAACCTAAATAAATAAAACATTATCTCTATTCATATTATATCTAGTAATTCGACGTGAGTCAGGGATGCAATTCTTCACAAAGTAGATCCATCACACTTGTAATTTTCAGATTATGCCAATAGTTTTATGTAGGAAAAAAAAAATAAAAAAATAAAAAAATAATAAAAATAAAAAAGAAAACAAAAAATCTACTACGTATAAGTGAAAGGAACCGTGTGGAGCCCAAACAAAAGAAAACAAATCGTGAGACAAAAAATCTAATATTCGGCTTCCTATAAAACCCTGCTGACAATCTCAAGTTGCTTCTAAATTCTTCAAAACAGACCCCATTCTCAGATTTTTCTCTCTTACAACATTCTTCTTCTCCAAACTTTCTTCCCCTCAAGTTTCCTGTCCATTATTCTAGAACCATCAACTTGCATACTGCATATTCTCCGCATCTCAATTTCAACCTTGATGATTTAGAGGATGCAGTATAAAATATTCTTTGCCTTTCATTTTTATTGATTCTAGTTGAATTTCAGCCTGGAATCAGCTCATCTTAATCGAATCCTCATCTTTTAAATCCTCCCTACTTGTTAGTATATTTTCTTTGTCCTTCCTATGATTAGGTTCCAATATTCGACTTCTTTTTTGGCCGAAAACTTTTGTATATAATTGAACGGCATCTTCACAAGGGATTAGCTAGGTAACTAGCAAGCAAGCAATTGTAAGGTTCTAATAATTTTGATCTTTTCTTAAGAGAAAATCAAAATCATGTCAAGTAGAAAGGCGAAGGAGATGATCGAGGGGACCGAGAATATGGGGAAGACAGTATGGGATAGAGATAAAGGGAAAGGAAATCCTCAACAACAGCAATGGACGCCAGTTTTTGATGAAGCGTCCAGTGCTGCTGCTGCTGCTGCAGGACGTCCCTCTAAGAAAATTCGAAGTCCGGAACGCCAGTTTATTCCATCCTCGCAATCACAGCTTTTTAATCCTTTCCCTTTTACAAATACTTCTTCAAAGATTGCATTTCCATTTACATTTGATGGTTCTTCCAATCAAATGAATCAGCCTCAGTTTTCTGATTTAAACACACAAACAATTCCACTACAGCAACAGCAACAGCAGCAGCAGATGATCTCGTTTAATCAAGGTTGTGGATATCAGTACCCGTATCAGCCTACGGCGTCGAATCAACAAATGCAGCAACTCCAATATTGGAGTGAAGCATTAAATTTAAGTCCAAGAGGAAGATTAATGATGATGAACAGATTTGCCAACCAAGGATTTGGACGGCAAATGCCTCAAGGGGGAAGCCCAGTGCCGCCTATCTCAACCACCAAGCTATATCGTGGCGTGAGACAGAGGCACTGGGGGAAATGGGTGGCAGAAATACGCCTCCCACGAAATCGAACACGGCTATGGCTCGGCACCTTTGACACTGCAGAGGATGCCGCCTTAGCATATGACAGGGAGGCATTTAAGTTACGAGGGGAGAATGCAAGGCTCAATTTTCCTGAGCTTTTTCTTAACAAAGGTAATAGTACTACACCTTCATCATGTACTCAACCTCAAGAAATGGAAGCCCCACCTCCACCACCTCCACCGGCCCCGGTGGAGGTAGTAGAACCAGAGTTGTCCTCAGGGGCTGCATCAAGTGATGTGACAGTGATGAGCGATCCAGCACAAACAGCCAGGGAAGGCGGTTCCGAGACCTCGGAATGGCCTTGGAAAGAAATGACAGATGCTTGGTTGAATGCAATTCCAGCTGGTTGGGGACCAGGAAGTCCTGTTTGGGATAATTTTAGTGATAATAATCTTTTCCTGCAACAAAACAACCCGTTCGCGTCGAATTTGAGTCACCCAGGTTATCATCAAGACCAACTAAACCAACAGGAAGAATTCTTTGGCTCATCACCATCTTTTTCCCCATCTTCTTGTCCTATGAGGCCTTTTTTCTCTAAGGATCAAGACTAGTTTCTTATCTTTACCCTTTCTATTTTTTCTTAAGATTCTCATATTTCATTTTTCATTATTCATAGGTTTTGTTCCCCAATTTCATTTTCCATTTCCTCTGTTTCTTTTCTCTGTTTCTTCTATTCTTTTTCACACTTTTGTTTTAGAATAACTTGAATGTTGTTTGCGTTACTCTAAGCCCTATATCGCTTTCTACTTCTATCACATCCAAACACACTGGCTTCAGATTTTTTTTTATAAAGCCAGAAAAACCCATCCATCTGCTCGCTGCATGTAGGCTGTTTATTATCAAGCCATTTGCAGATGTAATAGTCTCGATTTAGTTGTCACGTTACTAGTTCACTTTTAATCTCGGAAAGATGCAGTATTCTTGGGGGAAAAAGTTGATAGGAGTAGTTGGTAAAAAGGGCCATAGCAGAGATAGGTGCTTTGTTTCCCTTCTTTGTAGTTGGTACTTCCATCTCAAGCTATGCATTTTTCAGTAGCTAAAGATGGTTGTCCTTTTTATTTTTTCCTTAATTTTTTAGGATTTATTATATTGCTTTGGTAGTAGTGATTAACAGTATAATTAGGTATATCATTTTCGGATTATGTATTAATGTTGGTTGTTGATGTTGTATGCTCCTTTTTTCTTTCTTTTTTTTTTTTTTTTTCTTGACAGAGTTGTATGTTCCTTATTGACACTTTGTGTTATTCTCATATGTTTGTAATATATTATATGGTTTGCGACTAAGAAAACATATGTACCTTATATGCATATTAATTTAATGTTTGAGATATTTAGGGCTTCATTTGAAAATTATATTCCTGATTAAATGGTGTAGCCGTCCTTCAAAATACTACTAAACAAATCAAAGTCATAGTGTGCCTTTCGTGTTGGTAAGAGTTATCATTACTGCTCCGTATCAAGCTAGAATACCCTCTTATTATATACCCGAATATACAATTTATTTAAATTTAATATTTTGAAGGTATAATTTTTTGTGGTACTCCTTCTATATTTTATTTCTTGTTTGACTTTCTTTTGCGGTCGTATTTTATTATTTCCTTCATTTTCTTTTATGGAAACTTTATACGAAGGGAATATTTGATATATCATGTGCCTTAATGGTTAAGTATTGGCGCATAGTTACTATTTACATGGCAAGTAAATAGCAAGTATAAGACAAAAGAGTGGTGAAATATTTTTTTTTTCCTACTGGATTGTACCACTATTACCTAATGACTATAAATACTACTATTAAAACAACTTATACTTTAGTAGTATAAAATACATGTATGATAGTACATTAAAAATACCAGTGTAAGAATAATACGAGTAGTACATTAAAAATACCACGCAATAAAAAATCACAAAAATTAAGTGAATTTACCAGTTAACCCTTTTATATGCATCCCAAACAAATAGCTGCTATGTGCCTAGTTGCACTCTGCGTTAACAACAAATGCACTTGACTTTTAAGAAAATTGTCAACTAAAGTACTAAACATGGTCATAAAGATTACTGTTGTTGCACAACATAGACGTTGCTGACTAGAGAAGTACAATTTTCAATTTGAAGATCGACGGTGTGTTTGGATAAAGAAATGGGAAAGAAAAGAAGGGGGGGAGGGAAGAGAAAGGAAGGGGAGGGAAAAAAGATGAGTTTTCCTTCCAAATCTCTTCATTATTGGAGAGATTAATTTCTTCAATTTAATCCTTCCATTTCTCTCCCCTCCAATACCCTTCCTTCCTTATTTGTTATCCAAATGAAAGATAATCTATCCCTCTATTTCCCTTCCCTTTTTTTTCCTCATTTCCTTCAATCCGAACAAAGTGTTACTGAAAACAGTTATATTAGTTGAAGCAGTTCGCAATTTACACCAACCAAAATTTTTGGCTAATAATTAAGCCTCGTTTTTGTACAGTTCTCACAATATCAAAAAGAGAGTCAATATTTTTGTTCTTGATTTTCAATCTTCATAATTACTAATATGAGGAGGGAACCGACTTTCCCGCCCTCCCCATCTTGGCCTGTTGGATTCATTGACTTAACTTTTTTTTAATTAAGACATGATTGGCTTTTAGTTGAAATCTCATAAAAAGTTGATATATTTTTATACTGGTCAAATCTTATATTAATGTATTTTAATTTTTACTTTCATTTTTCTCAAGCACTTATAACTCTTTTAAGCTTTTTACTTTAAACCGTCTTTCGATTACAGTTTGTGATTTAAATATAATGAAATTTATATTCATATGGTATGTTGTTAGATTACTCTGAGAGTTTATATTGCTACTTTTTTAAAATTATGAGTAAACTCTTAAGAATAGTGTCGGGACTATTATGCCCCTTAAAATGTTTAATTTATTTACGTATTTAGCTTTTTAAAAGTATGACCACAATTTATGAATAGTGTTGAGATGATTGTGTCCCTAAATGTTTATTCACATATTTGCCCTCATTAATGTTAATTGGTTTTTTTTTTTTTTTTTTGAACTCTTAAGCATAGCGTGTGGACATTTATACCATTTTAAATATTTAATTCGTTAACATATTTTACTTAATTGATGCTACTAACAACGTCAAACCGAAAGAAATTCTGGACATGGCTAGCTATGACGCGGCTAACTATAATTCAAAACATCAATGTTTTATAAAGTTTATTAATTTAATAATAATTACAAATATTCATAGCTAAAATTATGCATTAATAACTTTTTTTCTTACTTTTCTCCTCTCTCCTATTTTAGGGTTTTAGTTTTCTTGGTCGTTTAGGCCGAAAATAGTCTAACTTCTTCGGATATTAGACTATCGACCTATTTTTCTTTAATTAAATTCAGATTTTTTAATTTGTTTAGCTATTTGCTGTGTTCTTTCCATTTGTGAGAGTCTTTCTCAATTTGCTTAGTTTTTCTAATTTTCTGAAATTTGATTCTCATCTATGAATGAGAATTTTATTTTCAAGAATCTATTAATAATTGGGAAGAAGATTTGGATTCGTATGGGTTTAAGGTTTGTCATCAACTCTATGATCATCAGAATGTAAACATAGATTGCGAATGTTTTAGTTGGAGTGGTGGAGTATGACCTATGTCAAATATGCTAAATATTTTAGTTTTGATTGTAAACCTATGTTATTTTCTCTAAATATGTGGTTTACATATTCATATTATTGTTGTAGCTGTCGTATGACTATTCATTATTATTGATATTATTTTACTTCCTCTAAAAAAAAAGTTATGCATTATTATGCATTAAACACAAAATGTCTCAAGTAAAAAAGAGGCATTCCAAAGGGATAACAGTTATGCAAGGCTAGATGCATAATCGGGGGCATTCTAGTAATTTTGTATGGAATTTTACGTACATACCCATGAATTGTAACGGGCTGACTAGTGCTCGTTACAAATGCCTGACTATTTGTAACGGTCGGTCGGGCACCGATTGTTACAAATAAGGATTGTGCCCGTTACCAAAACCTTCTTTTTTTTCCATTACAAATAGCAATTTTTCAATTCCACTAATGCATTGTGCGGTCATTCGTAAAGAAAGATCAGATAGTCGCTCCTTTACTTATGCAAAGCTAGTGTGCAGGCCAGTGTAAGTAGATCGATCTCTCTAATTGTTGTTAGTCATTTGGGCTACTAAATCTCATAATATTATGCCATTACTTTATGCAACGCCAAGTGAAGTGAAGACCTTTTGTTACAATTTTGACACTTATAAGTAGGGGTGTTCAAAAATACTCGACCCGCTTGACCTGACTCGATTACCCGAAGACCCGCAAAATACCCGATGGGTATTTGGCATTTTATTTCAATTTTACGGTACCCGACCCGCTAGAATTCCCAGTTTGCAGGTCGGGTCATGGGCCGGTCTGTTGAAGTCACAGGTACCTGTAATGGCCGTTTAAAAAATAAAAAAAATTTGGGGCTTTTTCTCTCTCCTCTTTTCTTCTTTTTTTTTTTTTTTTTTTTTTTTTTTTTTTTTTTTTTTTATGAAGGCCTCTTTTCTTTCTTGTGTTGTAGCCGTCCTCATGTCCACATTCCCTCTTCTCCACTTTCTCTCTCTTCTTTCACTCTTTTATGAGTTATCTCTTCTCCTTCCTTCTTCTCTAACTTATTTATCTTTCTCCCTCCTCCTCTCTCTTCTAATCTCTTAAATAAAGGTTTCTATCAAATTAATTTGCAATTTAGGTTTCTAAATTCTACATTGCTTTGCACACTTGTCCTCCTAGTAATTTTGAAGTGGCTCAACACACATTCGATAGGGCTCTTTGATCTTCTTTGGAGCGTATTGTTATTGCTTCGGGACCTGGGTATGGCGATTAGCAGTGGCGGCTAGCCACCTTACCATTTACGTTTGGAGGGCTTGGTGTTTATTCCGCAAGTGATGTTCGTCATTATACATTTCTTGCTTCTCGGTTACAATTTGTTGGGTTGCAGACAAAGCTTCTACGGCATGCTGGCATTATTAGTCTTGGTCGAGCCTGTAATACTCCGTATTTTTATACGTATTTTAATTTAAATTATTATTTTATAAAGTATTTAAATAATTCGAAATGAACTATTTGTGGTATTTTATTAATTTAAAAAGGTTTATTTTTAATAAAAGGTCCATTTTTATTCAATTAATATTTTGGAAATATTTATTTTATTATTTAGAAACTTTGGGGCATATTATTTTATGAAAGGAAATTTAAAGTCAATGGTATTTAAAGAAAGTCAATGACTAGTTTGATTAGGAGAAGGAATCATTAAGGGTAGAAGTGGAAATTTAAACTAGGAGGGTTTTGAGAGATTGTATAAATACTCATCATATAGCATGTTAGATCTTCCCAAAGGTGGAGAATACCCAAAGGTAAACTCTCTCTCTCCCCTCTTATTTTCTCTCCCTTAATTTTTCCCTCTCCCCTTTATTTTTACACACCCCACACGCACACACAAGGTGGCCGACCCCTCCACCTCCTACCGGCTGGCCACCAGTGCCAGCAGCAGCCCCCTCCCCGTCGTGTGGTGCGTTTTGATTCTAATCTAGCCTTAATTCAATTATTATTTTTGGGTTTTGTGATGATTTTGATGATGTTTGATTATGATTATTATGTATATAATTTTCAGATTCAGTTTTTGAATTAAAAACCCCCAAATTGAAAACCCTAGGTTTCTAAATTAATGTATATTGATGGAAATTGATTGTAGTTGGTTGGAATTATTGAAATAAGTGTTTTTAAACATAATTACAGCAATTTTGAATGTTTTTTATAAAGATGGAATTTTTATATAAAGGTTAAAATTATGTTTCTTGAAAGGATTTTAATTACCCATTAATTGGGAATAAAAGTAGGGGTTTTAAATTAATTTTCAGCTTATTTTAGAGGGTTTATAAGTGATTTAAAGAGTGTATTATTGCAGGAAATTTATATTGAATAGGTATTAATGTCTCTTTGTAATTTTGGGTTGTAGAAGATTTCCAAGTGAGTGATTTCGTGTAGTCGTGGCGATTTTGAGATCATATTCGAGGTACGTTTCGCGTACTCGGTAATTATTTAAATGTACAGAAGCATGCTAGGCTTTGTTAAATTAATTCCAAGGTAGTATCATGATAGGTAATGGTTGGAATTGTTGATTGGATTGATGTTGGTGATTGAATTGTGAAGTAAGAATATATTTTGTGAATTGATGATTGGAATTAATTATGTTGGCATGTTGAATATGAACCACACTTTTATTATTGGCATGATTGCGAGCATGTTTAATTAAACTAAAGGTTTAATTTGGTTTGGAATATAGAAAGGGAACTTTATTATGGTCCATATG